GGGGGGGGGGGGACTTCTGGAACACCCTGTATAGTAAGATTCAGCCTCACCCCTGCAACTGCTCAGGGTGTTTTATTGAGGTGAGTTCTCATGTGACGATAATTGGTTGAAAATTTTGAAGCAGTGTTTGAAAGACACGCCGGGCAAACAGCAGTTTGCCGGTAAGAAATCGCATATGGCCGCTAAGAAATGAAACTAGCGAGCAAGTCTGGCCGCTAAGAAAATCGTTGTTTAACTCTGTTTTTGGGATTTTGTGACGTATTCCTGACTCAAGGCGTTTCGAAAGGGCAATTTTTCATTTTTGCCCCTCAGAAATCTGAGATGGTCCCTAACAAAAAAAGTTGCAGGCGAGATGGCTGCTGAGACTTCATGCCGAGTTTCAAACACTGTTTTGAAGAATACATCGCGAGTGGGGTAGGCTTTTTAGATCGGGCCGACCGAAACGTAATTTTTCGGGTGGGTACACATTCACCGAAACCCACACGGTGAGCTCTCTCGTAACTATTCTTACCTTTTTATCACTTTCCGTTAATCTCTGCAGGAATCAATGATTACGCATTCAAATATAAAAGTCATGAGGTAAATATGGTAGTTAAAACGAAGGAGCACGGCTTCTGGCCGCTACGCGGCCCAACCCCTGTAAAACGCTTCACGCCCTCTGAGAGCCTACCTCGCAGACCCCTCTGAGTTAATGTAAATACAGCGGGGAGTCACCTAATGACTATGTTCCGTCGAAAGCCACAAAAATCATGGAAATTGGCCCGGTAAATTTATTGAACGATCTGTAACCAAACAAGAAACATTTACATTGTTAAAATGAAGAATTTGCAACTTAATCACGTATTATTAAAAAAAGGAGGAAAAAAAAAAGAAAAAGAAAAAAAAAGAAAGAAACCTGAGTCTTATTTCAAAAATCTGAATAGAGCTCTTATTTAGAGACAGTCACTTGTCGATAGCCGTAAAAGCAATGGAAATTGGCCCGGTAGAACGGTGGAGCGACTTGTGGTACATAATAAAAATATAGGGGGTCAGAGAGGGGGTCTGTAATGATAATAAAAAGAACGGTGCTTGCTCCATTTAAGAGCGGTTTTCTCAATAATATGTGATTCAGACCTCTGGAGGAGAGAGGAGGGGAACATGAGGGGCTCGTTTTTTAAATTGATCAGAAATGGGTTTGAGGTGAGAATTTTTTTTGGTTGCCCGGGGGGGGGGGGGGGGGGGGCGGAGGGGGCGTAGTGAAACTTCTTTGAGCCACTGAATTTACGTTGACTGCTCTACGGTGTCCTTACAATCGGTCTTTCGCGTACACCTTAAGAGAAAGCTGCATCCGCATCTTGACTCATTAGATCGCTTAACAACTCCGTTAACGGTCGTTCGGTGTTCGATCGACCGTCCCACTATGGTCCCAATCCGCTCGGGAGCGCTCAAAAATCGATATTTATGAAATTGGACGACATTTTTTTTCAAGTCAAAATTGATAAATATAGTATCTACGGGTCATAAACTACACGTAGTATACCTCAAAAAAATTTCTAGTCACTTTGAAAGTGTCACAAACTGTGCGAATAGTCGGATACGTATTTTCTGACCCGTGAAGTGGCTATTTCTAACAAAGCGTTCGGAGCCTCTCCTGAATCATGAAATGGTTTCTCAGAATTCTTGCTTATACTATTTTGTAGAGGACTCCAAGAGGATTGTAACGCACTAACTACAATTTTTCTCCGAGGCATTCTGACACATCCCACACAAGGTAGAAGTTGGATACCTATTTTTCATAAAAAAAATACCGATTTTTCCCACGAACTTTCATTTTAAAAAAAAGTCACCAAAGGTCACCTAATGAGACACCTTTAGAGAGCTTCTACACATCCTTGGGAAGCTACAGTAGAAATATTTCGTGCTTTGGTTTGCTTTTTCTCGAGAAATCGAATTTACTAGGTCTCTAAGTCGGTGGCTAAAATCACGGTATTTAGCAAGTTTAGCCATCGATCAATCTGCAGTCGTCTTAAACTTTTTTGAGACATGCGACACCTCCAAAAACGTGCTTAAGTAGTCTCTATGAATCCTTAAGAAGGATTTTAAACTAAAAATTGTTGGTTCTTCTTGCTTTTTGGACGAATTTTGAATCTTTTTCGTACCTGCGTGTTTCCTTCAAAATACTGTTTTACAACCCTGGAAAGCCCCTCGAAAAATATTCTGAGACATTTGGCACCTCCAGAGACACTTATAAGTCGTTTCTGTAGATCCTTAGAAAGGCAACCGAACCAAAAATAATTGCTTCCGCCTGCTTTTTCGACCAAATTTGAATTTTTTACGTGACTACGTGTTTGCCCCAGAAAAACTCAATTTTTTGCCCTGAAAAACACCTATAGTTGCAGGCTTAACACGTGCTAAGCACCTTTGCATCTACAGAGACGCACTTATGTAGCTTCTATGAATCTTTTTGAGGTTGACCGTTTCGAAAAAAATTTGGTTCCCCCTACTTTTTGAGATTTTTTGAAAAGTTTTCCGTTCCGCAGTTTTATCTTTAAAAATGCTCTTTTCAATCCTAGAAAGTACCTATTGATGTAAAATTTCTTACTCCCCGAATATTTATCCATTGTTGATTGAATTTTTCTTAACGTGACAATATTGCACCCCCGCTCTTCAACATTGTTATGTACCCGATTTGCGTTTCCCGTCAAATCAACACAAAGAAAAGTCTTCTCTGAAGCATTATTTCGACATTTTTAAAATACAAATGAATTTTAGATCTATTTCATTTTTTTCAGTTTAGTTTTCCTGAAAAAAAAATTGGGGGGGGGGGTTGTCAAAAATCTAAAACATCCTTAATTTTGCATGAATTGTACATGTATGTGCAATGAACGCATGGTTTTCATCCAATCTAAGCAA